AGGCCAGCTAATTTGTCCCAAAATACACTACAAGAATATTGGGTAGTTGGGAATGCTCTATGAATGCACGCAGGACACTGCAGCATAGCTCCATAACCTCAGTCCTTCTATGACAACTTGATTCTTCCGGTCTAAACTTTTACTTTGTGTGGAGTTCTTTAGGCAAGAATCAAACAATAGATAGTGGTTTTACCTGGCCACAAAGGATACCAAGTTCTTTCCTTGAGGTGTGGTGGTGTACTTGACTTTCCTTGTTGTGTGTTGAATCTCCATATTAACATGCTACTTTTGAAGAGTAAATGATACGTAATTCAAGTTCAGATGATTTGATGGATTGTGCCATATTTAACACCTTTAAGAGTTCTCTTTATTGGAGCTGTTTCATTGCTCTACTGAAAGTGGTTGAGAAAGCAATGAATTATTTCCTGTTCACAAGTGAGGCATGAAGAAGTATTTCAGTGGCTGTAGAGAGGAACATCAGTAGCTATAAATGGAACAACGGAGACTTTGATTTTTTCATCTGTGGAAAGGCATATTAAACCTTCTAAAAGCTGTTTTACTGCTGCTATCAATGTATATCTTTGTACAGGTGCCTCAGTGCTGTGTTTGGAATGAATTGCTTCACAGAGGATTTTTTGTCACAGTCTGATAAATGTGCATTTGTAGAAGGCTTACAGAAACAATCCCCAAAGCCCCCAAAACAATTGTGCAAGTGTTCCTTTAATGGGCTAGCTATTCTTTTATGCCAAGTTCAAGGCAAAAATTTTGATGCAATAATATCAGAGGAGAAGAAAGAGGGATCTCTGATCTCTGTGTCTGCAGTGCATCACCTCTGTTCCCTCCCCTTCAGGAGCTGGATTCTCCCTTGGTTAGGCAAACAGGTTTGGCAGTTGCGACTCTCTGGTTTCCCAGACACTGACAGATAGGGATAAAAGAGTGCTGGTTCCTCTGCTTTTGTCACTGGCTTGAGGGTCATATAAAAAAAAACAACAACAGTATGTGTGAATAAAGGCAGCAAACTTTTACTCACACAACAGTATCTCTATGTATCAAGTTTAATATACTCTTAAAAAGTGCAGTAAAAGCAAAACTTGCGGTGCCAAAACTCTAAACATGCCGCAGAGTTTATTTACCCCCACCGTATGTGTAATCCTAGCTGTGTATTCTATAGGCTGCCGTAGAGGCAGGCTTTGCATTATTCTATGCATGCAAGATCCAGCCATGGTTGTGGGACTTCCTCCCCTCACATCAGGGAGTAATTCAGTTATGAGGCCTACCATTCATTGTCTTTCAGCAATCTATATAGCATAAGAATAATTACTTGGACACATTTGTTCATTGCAACTACTTGATGAGCCAAGAGATTGTAATTATCTTCTGTAGACTAGGCTTAAATTCTGGTGCTACGGGTTTAGGCTGATGCAGCTGACAGCCCCATTGACTTAGGGGCATGTGATTATTAAAAGGAGTCTCTCAAAAGGTCTTCTTCCTATGTGCCTCACAAATAAGCATGCCAAATGTTCTGAAATGTTCCAGCAGAGAAAAAACTCTGCAGAGCTTTAGCAAGCTATAAACCAATGGGCGCATCAAGCATCAACCTCTCTTGTTCAGTTGTTTTTGGAGGCACCTCTCCAGTAAATTGTGCTGTCTCATTAGACTTTAAAGCATAGGAATGAAGTTATTTAAAGACATTCAAAGAGTTTATTGAAGAATGGGTTTGAATTTGGTTGTACTGAAGAGCCTTTATTTCATTCAGGTTGTCTTGCTCCAAGTGTGGTAGAAATACTTTACTGAAGAGATGGAGCCTTGCCATTAACTCTCTCCCTTTCCCCCAATCTGTAATATTAAGCTTGTGCTATCTTTATGCTGAAGTTGAAGTATTTTCAACTTTGCTCTTTGCTTTTGGTGCTGAATGCATAAAAACTTACTTATCCTGCTGAGACTTCCTGGAAATCTGCCTGGAATTACAAGCAGTAAGAAGTAGAATCCCAGAGTGGTTTGGGTTGGAAAGGACCTTAAAGCTTATCCCTGCCACTGGCAGGGACACCTTCCACTAGAGCAGCTTACTCCAAGCCCCTGTGTCCAACCTGGCCTTGAACACTGCCAGGGATAGGGCAGCCACAGCTTCTCTGGGCACCCTGTGCCAGCGCCTCAGCACCCTCACAGGGAAGAGCTTCTGCCTAAGAGCTCATCTCAGTCTCCCCTCTGGCAGGTTAAAGCCATTCCCCTTGTCCTGTTCCTACAGGCCCTTGTCCAAAGCTCCTCTCCAGGTTTCCTGTAGCCTCTTTAGGCACTGGGAGCTGCTCTAAGGCTTTCACAGAGCCACCTTTTCTCCAGACTGAACAACTTCAGCTCTCTCATAAAAGGTAACTGCCTCCAATATTTAGAACTATTTTCGCTGTATTACTATATTCTCTATCTTCAAGCCAATTTGCACATTTCGAGTCTTACAGTTAGCCCTAAATGCTGAGGGATTTTTTCTAGTATGGAAATTGCCAGAGGTAAAATATCTGAGTTGTGTTTTATGGAGTCTGAATAGGGAGCAGTCTAGAGACCCCAAATTGATTTATTTTTTTTTTTCTAATTTCCTTACTGAAATAAATAATAAGTAAAAAAGAACCAAAACAAACAAGCAACAAAACTTCCACACCACCCCCTCCAAAACTAAGGAGAGAGTACCAGTTACTCTGTTGAAAGGTATTTTGTTGTGAAGTACACTGGGCTTATGCAATGAGTGAGGGATCTAGGGACCAGAGTCTTCTCTATGTAAACTGCCCTGTTGAGATGATTTAAGGATCAGGTAATCAAAATAGCACCAGACAGCAGGATAATGAAATCAAAATTGTCAGAGGTACTAGAAGGTGCCTGCTTCTGTTTATGTATATGACGAACATACTGGTGACTCACAGGTGGTTTCTTAGCAAATCACTGTCCCACAGGTTCCTCTTCAGTTGCCATTGTTGTGATCCCATCTAAGTTAGGGAAAGGTGGTCTTAATAAAAACTACTGAAAGCTGAATCTACCTCATCTACACAAATAGCTTCCCATTCATGGAATAGGCTATGTTTTACAACTTTTTTGCAGCTGTGGTGTTTGGTTTGTTTTTTTCCTAAGAGAAATCCTAGTTCCCTTAAGAACAGCGCTGGAGATTTAGTCCTCTTTGAGTTTCCAACAGGAGAATCATCACATCCAAGCCTTATTTAGCATCAAGATGCAAAAGTACTCCTGAGAGTCTGTGCCCTTTTAACAGTTTCAGCAAAACAATATTATTTATATATACATATAAAGGGCTTGCACAACTGTGGTATTCATCAGGGTCTAAAATCTGTCCTCATTCTTCCTATGTTACTTGCCATGTTCCAGTTAACTCAAGCACTATTACTATAGTCTAAGCATCAGTGCTGGTGAAAGTTATGTGTAGTCAAACAGATTTCAACTGTGAATTCCATCAGCAGCTGCTTGTACTGCCACTTCTCTCCCCCGGCAGGAGATTTAATGCTGTGATACATACCTTGGTCATCTACCCTGCCTTGAGACATGAGTTGTCTACATCTGTCTCTGCAATGGTCGCTGCTTGTATTGAAGCACTTCTCATAGGAAGTGTTTTGCTGGATATAAGAAAAATACCATTTTATTTATCAGATTTATTGTAGACTTGATAGAAAGGGAGCAAAACCCCCTAAAGCCTCTGTAGGCTCCTTGTGTGCTGCTGTAAGAAGTGTAGAGAGTGTTATTAAAACTTCACCCCTGAGCGGATTACAACTTCTGCAGATGGAAAAAGAAGAGAAAAACAGAACTCTGAGTTTACAGAAGCTCAAGAGTAATTGAGCACACTGTTAGAACAGTTTCAGCTGCCTACTGTGTTAACTGTGTCCTGAGTGCCGGTCACATACAGCATACTTCTTGAAATTGCTTGCAATTGTTTCTATTCATACTTCTTTAGAGTTCTCTGACTTGCCTGGGATATGCAAGCACTGAAATAAGAAATCAAAGTGATTCATTATGATGGATGCTCTAATACAAAGCTTGGAGTTATACCATGTTTCTCCTGTATCAATTTGAAAATTGGCTGAGAAAAATGGAGTTATTTTCAGAGAACATAAAATGTGTCTATACGTGCTTCAGAGCATTCCTAATAGTCCTGCTGTTTGAAACAGACACGTATCTATTGTGAAATACCTATGTGCTAAGCATGCAAACTTCTGTGGTTAGGTTATTGTATTTAGTAAGGCATCATGGATGTTTTCTACCACATAATAATATTCTTTATATTGTAACTTCCCTTCCTAAACAGGTTTATGACATATTTCAGTGGCAAGCTGGTAGCCTTTCTGGAGTGGTACCCCTTTTTTAAAAGTAAAGCAAGGCTAAGGTTTGAGTTAAATGCAAAAACTAAGGTAACCTTCTTTACCCTATAATTTAAGTATATATTTCGTTACATAGAACTGGGTTTAGATGTTCAGAATGCAAACTTTACAATATCTATGTGTGTATATCTGGTTTTTGGGTGATTTTCCCCCTCTTCTTTCCTGAGAACAGGGATATCCATGATAACAAGTATCACTTTGGACCATAAAACCCCCCTCTCTTGACAGAAAAAAGTGTGCCATGAATACACACTGTACCAGTAATGAAGCACATAAAAGGTGTGTGTGCCAATAATGATGTGTATGGATCTGGTCTCAAAATCAGGACCCTGTTTAAAACGTGGAACAAATGCTTAGTAGTAAACTTGAGTTGTAGCTCTGTAAAGCAGCTGTACCTCAGAAAGCCCAAGGATATAATAGCTAGTAACTCAGTCTGTGTGTTACTATGAGGCATTTTCAGGCATTCCTGGGAATTGGTTTTATATTTTGACTTCATGTAATGGTTTGCCATTCATAGTGTGTGTCATTCAGTTTTCCACAATACCTGCAGTTGGATTGTACCCTTGTATAGTAAAAGTTACAAAATGCCATTAGACAGGCAGAACAAAAGCACTTTAGTATCATGCATCAATCTATACCAGGTATTTATTTTCTACTGCCAAGCAGAAAGAACAGAAACATACTGACTAATTTTTACCAGCACAATAATCAGACATCCACCTGTAAACATGAGTGCAGGCCAAAGGAAAGCAAAGAGGAGGCCTTTGGGGGGATAAAGTCTGCTTAGAATGACATTAGGCTGAGTTCCTCCTGGGTCATAGTAGCACGGGAAAGTCTGGTACTTCTTGAAATTGCTTGCAATTGTTTCTATTCGTGCTTTAACTTCTTTAGAGTTCTCTGACTTGCCTGGGACATAGGAGCACTGAAATAAGAAATCAAGGTCACTCATTATAATGGATACTCTAACACAAAGCTTGGAGTTAGATTGAGTGCAACAAGCATGCTTGCAAAAGCATCATTGGTTTGGATAGCATTGTATTAGTTACCTCATGTCCATAAACCATTTGCCATGCTTTCCTGCTTCTGTCATTGTGTCTATGCCCCCAGTCTGCAGATTTACAGATTGAACTCATGTTATTAGAAACTAGCAACACATATGAGCTCAAAATAGAACTATAGCCTTTGAGACTGTCACTTTATTATTACAGTGCCAAGCTTGGATTGCAGAAGAGGAGTGAGGCACCACCACAGCAGATGTGTGTTAGCTGTGCAAACATTCAGTCTGGCTTGCCAGTGTGCAGCAAAACCAAGCTGCTTCACTGTGCACCTCTGGGTGTAACTAATAGAAACATGTAAGAACAGCAGGGCTGTTGCAGGCTTCCTACTTGTAACACAGAACTGTTTTGACCTCTCATGGTAATGCTGTTACTTAGTCTTCAGTGGAAATGCTATTAGACTTTAAAGCACTCATTCTTGTCGCTGTTATCCATAACAGGTTCTTTTCTGCCATATTATTTTACATAGATAATGCTAAGGTGTCGAGCTGGAAAATCAACAAGACAGAAAGGGAATGGCTCCTGACCTGAAGGCTTGTACTTGCAGTAACGCAAACAGCAGCCAGGAAGTCAGCAAATAGCCTCCTCTGGCAGTGAACGTCACTCCTGTTTCAATCCACAGTGGATAATTTCTGCTTGGCTGCTTCATTATATGTAGCTTTTCCTGAGACAGGCATTAGCTAGAAAAATTCTCATCAGCTTAAGTGGTTTATGCTATCAGATTGAGACTTGTGAAACTTTTTACAATTTCTTTAAGGATATGAGTGTTTGTAGTTTGAGCATGCTTGGTTTGGATTCTGAAAGTGCTGCAGTTTTGGGCATCCAAGATCCGAATTTCACTTTGTGCCCCCTAAGGGAGTGTTGAGCTCCCTCGTTTCATCTTTATTCCCTGCTTCATGTTGCACACCAAAAATGGAAGTAAAACTGAGATTTTTTTTTACCTGCTTCTTACCCTTGGTCTTCAACTTGAAGACTTGCGTATTTCTACATGTTCATAAATGTTAAATACTCCTGGTTAGTTGATGTAATTCCTTATCAACTATTAACTTAATGTTTTATGAAGTGTTCAAAACCCCAAATTGTGTAATTTCTGGTATGTTTTAAAAATGCCTTGGTTTGCGCACAAACGTTGTAAAAAATAAAAAACTCCTACTCTTATTTTACTGCTTGGTTTAAAAACAATCACCCTTTCTCAGAGGTGTTAGACAGCAGCAGAGTGATTATTTCATGTGTGTTGCAAGTACCTTAGGATTTCTTTCCAGTGTGTCTTCAGTCTGATACAGCATAACCTCCTGTCCCGAGGCTGTCAGATTAACCCACACCTGTAGACAGGGGTAAGGAAAGATATCCTCATCCTCTGAGCCCTCGCCATCTGGGCAGAGAACTTTGTCCTTGATGTTGGCTTTGAGTACTTTGCACATGGTTTCTGTTGTCCAAACACTACAAAGACAAAACAAAAGGTAATGCTTTTAACTGTGTTAGCAGCATCTGTTCTGAGTTTGGTGCTGAAGGTGGCCCTGTGTGTGCTGTCAGCAGTGGCCAGAGTGACTGGGGTTCAGTCTTGGTATGGTGAGCTCTGCTCACCCCAGATGGATGGCAGCCCTGCTCTGGGTGCAGCCATGGGGAAGCAAAGTGGGGAAACAAGGCAGGAAAGCTCCTGTAGTCATTTGTTAAACATTCAGTGGTTTGAGGCTAGGTTCTAGCCCTATGTGTAATCAGCTTGAAGTATTATTCAGGAAATAAAAACTCCTGTGGATTTGAATATGTGGTAGTAAATATCTGGAAGTGCATACGCTTGATGTCTTGGGATTATTTTGACTAGTTTCACTCAATAATTCTCAGAACTCAGATCATTTCCCTTGTTTTTTCCCTTCTCTATTACATAGAAGTTTTCTGCATGAATAAGTAGCAGGATTTTGTCTGGCAAAAGCTAAGTTTTTGCTGTTACTTATCCCTTTTTCTCAAGAATTACTCTTTTATTACTGATAACAGCAAGTTTTTACTTCTAGTGGAACACTTTGGTGGCAAAACAGTAAAGAAATACTCTCACTCCAGTTCTTAGGAAACCCATCTTTTGACATGCAAATGTCTTTTGTAATGTATTCAGGAGGCTGGAAAATAAATAAAATGTGAATTACTGTGCTTTAAAGATAATGTTTTTCAAACATTTTTAAACTTAAAAGTGCTCTTAGCAAGAAGAATGAGGTGATGTACTTGCTTTCGCTATCAAAAGCTTCAAATGTGAAAACTGGAGCTGCACTCTTCATTTATTTTGGTTTTTGCCAATTGATTCTGTGTGTGGAAGCAGAACTTGCAAAATGAAATAATATCATGGGTAAGAGTAATTTTTGTACAGCCATTGTGTTCCGCAACACTTGCTGCAGTCAACTTTGCTGCTGAAGGTGCCAGTTTCTCTTAATGCTTGAGATGGAAGCAAGATACAGATTCTCAACTGAACAATTTTACCGTGACTTCTGTTGCTGAAGTTTTTTTAATTTTATTGAACTGTTCTCATTCTATCCTTCTTTCTTGTGCTTAGCTGCCAATGCCTCTTGCCTTCTTGGTTCACTTTTTCCTTTCTTTTTTCTTTTGCCTTAAATTCTTACGAGCAATTCAAGAACATGTTGTCCAATGTGCTAGCATACATTTTAGCACTGCTTTAATAACTGTATTTGCTGCTGAGAGGAAAATAAATAGCTTTGTATTCATAAGAAATGGCTGATATTACCTTTTAGTGTAGAATGGCACAATGGTAATCCCAATAAAGAAGCACATCATCATGGAGCATGCAACCATTCCCAGCCCCAGGCAGAGGGCTCTTGTCTCCCCTCGCTTCTGGGCAGTCACCAACTTTTTTCCCAACATGATTTAAAGTTGTGGAATCTGAACAATCTCATATAAAATAAGAGGACAAAAAAGAGAGGGAAAATATGGTTAGGATTGGCTACAGTTGTGTGACAAGCTTCTGGAATGTAACCCCATGGAGCAACAGTCCTGTTTCTGCAAAAAATTAGAATTTATAAGAAAGTTTCTGTGTTTATGACCAGTAATAAAAAAAGCAACTTTTTTACTTTCTGATATTTACTATATTGTACTTCAAAAAATATGTGTGTGGGGGAACTAGGAGATGGGGCAAGAAAATGTCATTATGTTGAGGAGAGTTCTGTTAAAAGCCTGACAGTCCTCAGCCTTGATTCAGTCTGTTTTGTGTTGATACTTCTCTGAAGCAAGAGATACTGTGTTGTGTAAGGCTGCATGAAAGGAAAATCTTCCCACTGTAGAATCCTTTTTTACATGATGCCTTTTCTTCTAGATTAGTCTTAAATGTGGTTGTGTTATTTCAAAAGAGCTGAAATAATATAAAATTTAGCATTTTAGTTGACTGTTTCTAACTTGTACATGTTTATTGTATGGCCTTGTCCATTCAGGGATGCTCAAAACTTGATGTCTGATCCAATAGCTGAGAAAAGCTGCATTTTCTAGACAGAAATAGTATGATGCCACCATGGAACAGGATTAGAAAACGTAGCTGTTCAAACTGCTGTCATTCCACCATAAACACTGAGTCAGGACATCTGCTGGCACTAGTGGGAGAGTGCAGAGTGTGAAGGGTCCGAGTCCCAGCTTTGGGGTGCCTGGCATTTCGCCCCAACTCCTTTGCCAAATAGTATTTCAAATTATCTTGATATTGCTTTGACAAAGAGAATCAGAAAATAATTACTGTGAATCCATGTGCCATAAAGTCATTATGGCTGGTGGATAGTATTAATGTATAAATGAGCCATAAGAGTTACTGCGAGTTCAGCCCAGCTCCAGTGTCTGTTGCACTGAAAGCTGTAGGTGAAGATTTGTGTGTTTGGTTTTGTTTTTTCATGAAAACATAGTACAAGCCATAATTGTGGCAAATGATAAAACTGGCAAGATTTGTGTGGTGTATTTTGGAGAAGGAGAAAAGGAAAATAAGTTACATACAAGCTGAAAGAGGTTTCAGTCCTGTCTCATATGCAAGACCACAGTGGACATGAGAGATGGTAGCTGGTGTATTTTCATTATTTCAGCTTCAGGTGTGTGCAGCTATTTAGTGTGGATCCTTAGTGTATTCTTTCTGGCTGTCCTTCAGGATGACGTGGTCCATGGCCTAAATCTGCCTGTGTGCAGTTAAGCAACAAATCAAATACCAAGACTTAAGTTTCGACACAGTTTCAAGACAAGAACAAGCCAAGTTTATCAAATAGGATCTTCAGGTTAACCAAGAGTAGATGGTCTCCAGCTGCCTGAGGCTGGCAAAGTTGTGGTGATACTGGGGTTGGGCAAAGACTTAGATAAAGACATGATCAGCTCTTAAAAGAGAAATGTGAATGTAATCTCAGTGTTTCTTTCTTTCCTATTAGTTCTGATTTTCTCTGGGAAAAGTGCCTGCCTTTGACAGTTTGATCTAAGAAAAGCGGTATTTGAACACTGAAATGCTACTGGATTTAGATTACTATAGCATCTGAATATTAGTGTTATTAACAATAAAAGTATAGCTGTCTATGGACAGTAAACCAGATTTGGTCATTTAGCATAACTTGAGTCAAATTACAGAATTTTTAAAGTACAGGTTTTGAAGTTGCTGCTACATGGTATCACAATGAAAGGCTGTTCTGAGTTATCCCTGGGAATTAAAGGAGTTGCTGTTATTTAAATACTGAATTTTGCCCAGTTTCATTTTTAATTCCACTTTAAATAAAACTTCACTCTCCACTGTAAATTTTGCATACAGCATTTTGAGGGGAATTGTTTTTCTGATGATCATGTGTCCATGTTTTTCTGATGATCATTTTTCTGATGATCATGTAGCTACTGGCATGGCTAGAAGCCTCTTAGGAGGTTGCCTTATGATGAACCTTACCTGCTTACTGACATTTGAGTTTAATACAGAATGTGCATTAATGCCCTTAAATGAGGCTGTATTGTGTTTTTCTTGGTCTATGGGGCTGTAAATAAAACGTGGCATCAAGCACTGCCAGCATGCTCATGCTGTGCCTTTGTACTCATGTAAAACTGTGCACAGAGGCACACGCACCCTGCAAGGGAACTTGAGTGAATGTCAGCAGTGACTGCCCTTGGGAACTTCTGTGGTTCCTTTTGGTTCTGTGGGGGGGAACAGCAAAAATCAACCAACCCAATAACCAAAGAAATCCAAAGTATTTTAAGTAGTGGTACAGTGTGCACCACAGTACCATAAGACCAGTTGAGATTAAACTGACTCTCCTTATTGTGCAGTTTGGTTGGGGGAAAATGGAATAAAGGAACATCATTGGTCCTAGAATATGGGCCAGATTGGCACTTCCTTATAACCCAGAAGCTAATGATAGACCAGTGCAAGCCTGTGTTGTTGACAAGAATTTCTTATAGCAACAATGATAGCAGCCTTCCAGTATCTGAAGGGGGCCTACAAGGAAGCTGGAGAGGGATTCTTTATCAGGGATTGTAGTCACAGGACAAGGGGTGATGGGTTCAAACTTAAACAGGTGAAGTTCAGGTAAGATATAAGGAAGCTCTTTTACTCCCTGAGAGGGGTGAGGCAATGGAACAGGTTGCACAAAGTGGTAAATGCTTCATCCCTGGCAGTGTTCAAGGCCGGGTTGAACAGAGCCTTGGGTGACATGGCCTAGTGTGAGGCATCCCTGCCCATGGCAGGGGATTGGAACTGATTGATCTTAAGGTCCTTTCCAACCCAAAATATTCTATGATTCTATTAATCTTTAGTCCTATGGGAAAACAGAAAATCAGAGATTGGTGCTGCCCCTGTGGCTTGTTCAAAACTGCTAGTGGCCTAGTGTTAGTGTCTGGAGTTATAGGTGTTCCATAACGCTGCCATAATGACATAGCTGTCCCAGTGACACTGAGGAATAGTGGAGTAATCGGACCCCTTGTTACATGGAAAACAGGAATTGTAGGACTATTAATCAGAAGATTAATAAGAAATGTAGTTGCCCCATCAGTCTGTTTGAATGTCAGCCACATATGTAGCAGAAATACCCGTAAGTTCATCCTTTCTAATTGTCTTAAACTGTCAGACAACAGGCATTTGTATGTGGAAATTGGAGATTTTCAAAAGTGGCCAAGAGGTTCTTCAGCATGATGTGCAGTGTGCTCCCCATCCTGACCCCAGCTGAGCTGCCTGACCCTGGTTCTTTGTGTGGGGTGATTCCATGTGCCTCTGCTCCCCCAGTTCAGATGTCTACTCTACCCCAAAGAGAATAAGGACATACAGAATCATAGAATTGTTAGGGTTGGAAAGGACCTTGAGATCATCAAGTTCCAACCCCCCTGCCATGGGCAGGGACACCTCACTCTAAACCATATCACCCAAGGCGTCGTCCAACCTGGCCTTGAACACTGCCAGGGATGGAGCATTCACAACTTCCGTGGGCAACCCATTCCAGTGCCTCACCACCCTCACAGTGAAGAACTTCCTCCTTATATCCAATCTGAACTTCCCCTGTTTCAGCTTGAACCCATTACCTCTTGTCCTATCACTACAGTCCCTAATGAAGAGCCCCTTCCCAGCATCCCTATAGGCACGCGGCCCCCTTCAGATACTAGAAGGCTGCTCTGAGGTCTCCACGCAGCCTTCTCTTCTCCAGGCTGAACAGCCCCAACTTTCTCAGACATATAGTTATGCAGAGAATGTCGGGAAGAAAGATTTGTCTGAAATACCTCACTGAGAGCTTCTATAAACATTAAATATAACAGGTAGGTCTTCAGGCAATGTAAATCAGTGGTGCTCATGTCACTGTGGTGTTGCTGCACGAGATTAGCTGTAAAAATGGTCCCTAAAAATGAAAGACATAGTTCCTGCTCCATTTCTTTGTGCTTTAAAATTTAGAAGACCAGAAAAATCTGTGACATTTCCTGAATGTACAGGTTAATTTAACAGAAGACCCAGGAAAGTGAAGGAAATCCCATGTGTGCATTTTTTCTTTTCATATATAAATATTGCTGTGTTCTTGCACTGAAAATCCTGCGTTTTCTGGCCCTCAAGACAAAGCAATGCTGCATATGGAAAAATATTCGGTTGAAATTTCCCCATTGTTTGAAAGGTTAATTTGTTTTCAGATTAAAAATTCTTCTGTTTCTTAGCTCAGTCAATGTAAGTTAGGAGGGATGTTGAAAGAGCAAATTTAGTGACTCCTCTGACAAAATCGTCAAACCTTTGAAAAATTAAGCACTGCAGAGAACTTGATTGGCCCAGGAAGGCTGAGCATATTTGAATGGAAGATGTTGAAGTGTATAATGGGTTTTAGTCTGTCCTTTAAGAGCAAATCTGTCCTTTAAGAGCAAATGTAAATGTATCTTTTGCACTGAAGATTGTGGGGTGCCTCTTTAATTGCTAGGAAAATATAAGCTCCAAATCTTTTCATAATGTTCCCTCTCCCTAATCTTTTCCTTTAGTCTAGTTAAATTATACAGGACATTAGCTGTGCAATTTCAGTGTATAATAACTGTGTTGACAGCTGCTGGTGATAATCTGATTAATGCCATCTGCTCAGGTTGGGAATAGACATTTTTGGTTAATAGACATGTTTGATACTTTGTGGGAAGTCTATGCCTCCTCCTGCCTCACCTCTCAAGGACCTTCCAGTGCTGTGATCTCTGTGAGTTGAGATGGGACCTTTCTGTCCAGGTGCTGCAGGCTGCTCTGAACTTGTGTATGGCAGGAACAGTAGCACTGATTAATACACCTCTCTCCTTTCAGAATAGAGGGTGATCAACAGTTCTCCCAAATTTCGGTTGGGAATAAATACAACCAGTGAGGTATTAATTCTTTGGGGCTGGTTTATCCTACACCATATGATGAATTTCCAGTGAACACTTAGGTATAGCTTTCAGATGAGCATCAAAAGCTAATACTACGTCACACCAAGAAGAGGGATGCAAGTCATCTGCACCTCTGAAACAAGGAGGAGTTTTGAAACAGGCCTGAGTCTTTTGGCCTCTACTGTCTCCACATACGGAAGACCTGATTGGTTTTATGCTGTCAAGTGCCAACTTAATAGTCTTCTTGGTTTATTCTCAAAATACTTTGTGTGGACAACATACATACCCAGCAAAGAAGTATAGTATTGATTATCAGCTTATTGGACAAGTACCTTGTGTGGGAACCAGAAGGCAATCAAAAGTTTTTTAGATCTATAAATGGGATCTGTGTACTGGTTATGCTGCCATGGCACTCACTTCCCCTCTCCCTGCCTGCTGTTTCCTACCCCAGCATTTAGATGCAGTTCTTGCTGCTACACGTCTGCCTTTGCTGGGGGTGCTGGGGCTGAGGACCACTGGTTTTGTTCATTGTATGTTGATCAGAACCCATTACTTAAAATCCATCCCAGGCAACTGGGACCACAAATACCATGTGTGTTGCAGAAAAGGTGGTCATGAACCTCAATGAAAATGTGCAGAGAAAAGATTCTGCCACACACTCATGCAGCTCTCCTGCAAACCTGAAGCAGCAGTTGACATGATACAGCTACATTTCTTTTATGAAATATGCTATATCATTTTGCTTTATTAGTGAACTCTTTACCTGATGTGACACTACAGTGAATAAAAGGCAGTTAGCTTTTTTGTTTCAAAACCTGTGCAGGCTTTTAGAGTCATTCTGTTAGCTTTTAAACCTGGGGCTTCATAAATAAAAAAAAAAAAAAAAAGAAAAAGAACAAGTTCCTTGGTCAGTTGAGCAGTTCTGGAATCAGTCTGGAATCTTTCTGGAATTTTGGATTCCATGCAGTACTGGGCTGCACAGAACAGATCAATTTGAGAGGATATCAGGGCAGCCTGAAAGTTCAAGCACCTGGCTCCAATCCAGTTTAGAAGTAGACAAGCACAGCCTCCAGAGGAATGCTGAACACCTAAAGCCACATAACTCCTAAAAGTAAAGGTGTATTTACCATTAAAATTAATAAAAATAAAAAAAAAATCTCATATGGGCTGCAGACTCCTAATTTGTGAAAATATTAGCATTATCTTTGATAATAACTATGGAGAAATACTGGAGTGCATCCAGTCACAAAAGAGAGAACAAGGTAACTTTGCTGTAGCATGTGGACTCTCTGGGCTGCCCTCAATTGTGCTGCAGACTGGGAAAGGTTGTTGTATCCAAAAGTACTGTATTTTTCAAACCCCAAAGCTACGGTGTGCTCCCAGGAAAAAACAGTTGCTTAGAAATGTACTTACTGGTTTTGATGAAATGCTTCTTTCTTAGATGAAAAACCTTCTGCTACATGGCAGAGTGGATCTTGGA